AGAAGTTAAAACTAGACATGCCACCTCCCTCTGTCTTTTCTTTAAATACAGGTTTTTGTTAGAACATACCCAGAAAACAGTTCTGAACTCCTGAATACCAAAAAGTTATTGACAAATTGAAAATTGAATGGAAGTCTGAGAAGAACAAGAGCTACAATAACAGGTTAGGGAAAATTAGTTTATGAGAACAGGTGTCAAGAACAAAGCATGTTATGCAAAGCTAAGGGGTGAGAGACAACAGTCAACTATAAACACTATTTATAGCTGGATAAGATGATCTAGTGAGTTTCTTTTAACTCTAACGTTCTGTAGAGGACTATATTTGAGAAAGAAAGGAAATCCTTCATGTAATATTTACCATCTTCTTCCATCATCCCTGCACATCAGCCAAAGATTATTAAAGCAATAAATACCCAGCTTGAAATATTCCTGTATGCAGGCAGAAATGTTTTATACCCAGTTTTCACTGGTAGGAGTTGTAGGGCAGAAACCTATTTCACTTACTCACCTTCACTTTGCTTACCCAGCTACTTCAGTGCTGTTTTGGCACTTATGCACAGTTTTGGATCTGATTTCACATGTAGTGCAGAGGTACAAGTGCTCATAGCAATACTGAGCATACTCATTAGGCCGTACTCTGGCTGGTGTATGTGTACCTCAGCAAACATAATTCACCAGATTTCAGTTGAGAAAAACCTGTGACCATTAGATGCCAGGGGATGCTAGAAAAGGGGGAATCGTGGCAGCTGCAATTCCCAAAGTTTGAGGACTGCAGTGTGAAACCCATGGGCCCACAGGTGCAGCTGGGACCAAGAGCCTCATCAGGAGAGGGACTCTCAGTTCTGACTGCACATGTGGCATAGCCAGGAATGAGAGCCCTTCCAGGTGCAGGACTCTAAGACCCAGCTATGCATGGTCCCTATGGCTGGGAGCACCCCCAGCAAAGGGGGCTCCCAGCGATAGGAGCCTGCTTCTTGCCTTCTACATCGACAGTAAGGCACAACTGGATCTAATGTGCAATTCTACAATCGCACCTTCTGCCATGCACATGTAGCTACAGTGTGGCTCACACATTAGATCGTGCCTTTACCTGCACGTGTAGATGGGGTCAAATAGCCTACAGTAATGATAGAACAGGCTAGGAATTACTTAGAGGGTCTAGATGCTTTCAAATCAGCAAGGCCAGATGGGAAGCACCTAAGGGTATTAAAGGAACTGGTTGACATAATTCAGAGCCATTGGCTAACCTCATGGAGCTCAGATGAGGTCCTGAATGACTGGAAAAGGGCAAATATAGTGCCCATCATTAAGAACGGGAAGGAGTAGGATCTGGGCAACTACAAGCTGTCAGCTGTCAGCTGACCTCTATACCTGGGAAAATCATGGAGCAGGTCCTACAGTTAAAGGATTCCGTGTGAAGCACCTAGAGGAGATTAGGAACAGTCAGCATGGATTCACCAAGAGCAAGTCATGCCTGATCAATCTGATTTCCTCCTATGATAAAAGGACAGGGTCTGTGGATGAGGGGAGAGCAGTGGACATGATATACCTTGACTTTAGTAAGCCTTTTGACACTATCTTCTATTTCACTATCTTCATATCCAACAAGTTAAGGAAATACAGACTAGATAAAAGTACTGTACAGTGGATACATAACTGGCTGGATCATTGTATTCAGCTGGTAGCCCTCAATGGGTCCTAGTTGGGAGGGTGTATCAAGTGGGGTCCTTCAGGGGTCTGCCCTGGATCTGGTATCATTCAACATCTTCACTAATGATTTGGATGGTGGGATTCAGTGCATGATTAGGATATTTGCTAAGTTGAGGGGAATTGCACACACTCCAGAGGGTAAGGCTAGGATCCATAATGACCTGGATGGACTGAAGAAATAGTCCACTATCAGTCAGATAAAATCCATCAAGGACAAGCTTTGCACTTGGGTTGTAATAACAGCATGCACAAATACAGACTGGGAAATGACTGACTAGGTTGTAGTACTGAAGAGAAAGACCTGGGAGTTATGGTGGAGCATAAACTGAATATGAGCCAACAGCCTCTCTTGTTCCAATAACTCCAACAGCATCCTTGGTTGTATTAACAGGAATGTCATGTGCAAATCAAAGGAAGCGATTCTTCCACTCTCTTCATCACTGGTGAAGCCTTACCTGGAATACTGTGTTCAGTTTTCAGGCCCATGATTCAAGAAGGACATGGGCAGTTTGTAAAGAGTCCAGTGCAAGGCAAGAAAAATTATCAGATGCCTGGGAGATGAGACTTATGAGGAAAGGCCGAAAGAATGATGGTTATTTATCCTGGAGAAGAGAATGCTGAAGGGGTATTTGATAACCATCTTCAAGTACCTGAACGGTACTACTGAGAGGATGGAGATGGGCTTTTCTTTGTAGCTGTAGGGGACAGGATCAGGAATAATGGATTCAAGCTGCAGCACAGGAAATCTAGGCTAGAGATTAGGAGGAATTTTCTGACTATGAAGGTGGTCAGGCAATGAAACAGGCTACTTAGGGAATCTCCATCCCTGGAACTTTCAAAAGCAGGTTAGATGGACACTTGGCAGAATGGTTTAGTCAGGAATGATCCTACCTTGAGCAGGGGGCTGAACTCGTGAGTACCGTTCTTGCCCTACTTTCCTATGATCCTAGATGGAGGTTCAAACTCCCTCAGGGCAAGTGGTGGGGCCTGGAACCTGAGTCTCTTGCTTCCTGGGTGAGTGCCCAAGCCACTAGGATATTGGTTTAAAACATGAGAGGCCTCACTTTTGCCCTTCACCTCCTGCTGCACCTCACTAGTCACAGCTTTTTCCCCACCTACAATTTCAGGACTTTGTACACGCTTACATAGGTGAGCATGAGCCGCATATATGCCTGGTCAGAGTGCATGTTCAGTAATCATGAGGATTTTCACTCATCCATGATACATTTGAAATAGGATTGGAAACTGCATGCAAGTATCAAAAACAGCATTAATGCGGCTGGGTAAGTGCCATTTGGATACACAAAGTGAAACAGACTGTTGCCTATAATGTTCTCAAGAGGGAGGTGAGGTGCTCCGCTATGTCAGCTGGGCTTTTTCCACTACATCACTTCTTTTCTATTCCATTTCTTTATGGGATGCACTTTGCACAGCCATTGAAAGCTGGATTGGTTCATTTGCTTTACTGTGCACCGTAGATAAGTTTTTAGAATAAACTCTCCTCACTGATACATTACTGAATAAACTTGCCTCACTCAAGAGTTTGCTTCATAGAGACTTCTGGGGGAGTTATAATCACCCACTGCATTTTCAAAATTATGACATGAAAAATATGTTAATTGAAATAGGTCTAACCCTTGGATGCTCCATATCTCAAACTGATTGCAAAACACATGAATTATCAGTGTAAAAAGCAATTTTTTCCCCTTATACCACAGACAATTCTGTGAACAAGCATCAGTCAGAGGGACAGTTATAAATGACTTTTCTATGAGGTTTCCTGTATAATACCTGAACATCAAGCAACACCACAATTCTAAGATAGAAAAATATTACCATTTTATTCATATGGAATAAAGGTCCAGAGATCAAGCGGTTTAATTAGGACAACATCTGGATGATGTTTGGTAGGATAATTTACCATGCCCAGTGGCAGTACCCTCAAATATGCCTTGCTGCTCCATACAGTGTGCCTCCTATGCCAGAAGCAATGCAGACTCTTGTCTGCATGGTGTCACAGATAGACAAACATGGGTGTGGGCTAAGCAATTCAGCAGCCTACCTGAAGCACCGCAGCCTACTTGAAGCACTGCACAAATGAAACTACACTCCTTCTAGTTTAGAAAGTAATTTGCTGGGAAGTCTTGTCCATAGGGAGCTATGGTACAGCTGGGAATCAGACTGAAAACTGCAGTCAGGAGTCTACTTGTGGCTAGGACAGGAGTAATACATTCTGTGACCCTAGACAGAAGGCAGTCTCACCTTTCAACTTCCAGAGAGGCAGGGGTGTGGCGTGAAATACCCCTTTTCCCCTTTAGGATGGCTACAACGAATGTTCCCATCCCTCAGAAGCACAGGGGTTGCTCAGAGAGCAATGGTGGCAGAAGGAAGGGGCTCGCTAAGGACCACAATAATTGAGATTTATCAGTTTGGGAAAGGTAGGCTGGTTAGACTTACTGTAGTCCTTTCCATATATAGTCCTCTGCTAGGGTGAAGTTGGTAGGAATCCCAGGTTAGGTGACAGAGCTAACACATAATTTAATGCATGGGAATGTTTATACTTCTCAGGTGTATATTTCTAGGCTACCTGAAGACATAAGCCTGGGTCATGCTTTCAAGTTTTTTGTCCCAACCACAAGGCCTAGCTACTCATGATTTAAAAAAAGAAAGTTTAGCTCCTGGTGTACTCATGAGATTACAGCAGACAAGATAGCTCTAAGCATGGTCCTAGAGCCCCTATTCATTCTCCTATCCTTATTTCATGACTAAAATGGTGACTAGCTGCATCTCCTTACACAAGTCATTTCTCATCTTTCTGTATCCCTTCCCTTCTTTTCCATTGCATGAGTACTTTGGGAAAAGGACTGTCTTAGTGTTGGTACACTGCACAACATAGTGAGGCTCCTGATCTAGCCATGACTTTGTAGGATCTACTATAACACAAATAATAATTAAATAATACAAGGACAAATAACAACAAGGCATTCCAGAGCCATCCTGTAAGGCCATCCATCCTCTGTTTAGCTTGTCTGTTTTGTGAAAATCTGATTATTAAGCATGAAGTGATACTTCTTTCTGTTTACCGTTTTAAGGGTAAACCATGCTTCCTTCTCTGTGGTACATTAATTAGACACAGGTCCAAACCAAAACCCTGGATCCAAACACCCTCTGATATTTGAGAAGTTTTGAATCTGCATCCTTGCTACTCAGACCTATCTCCAATTCTAATTATGGTTACTGCTTCCTGGGAGGTCTAATTTGAAATAGATTGAGATCAACATTACACTTACCCAAGGATGTGTTCACACAGCAGCCTGCAGTAGTCACTGTGGGAGCTGGTAATTAATAGCAGGACCTTCCCTGCATTTTTCAGTTGTCTTAGCCACTTTTTCACTGACTCAGGACATCTTTGTATATATTTTCCTGGATCATTTTTCACTTCTGGGAAATATGTCCCACAGTTTTCTAAAAAAGAAAAATATAACCTCTGTCATCCAATAATATTCACAACGCATGCTGTAAACACAAAAAAATTTCTTCTACCCCATATGCAACCAAAACATGTAAATGACTATATTAATATAATACTAAAAAGGCAGATAAAATGTAAGAAGTTTTACAAGGCTAAGATTTTAGTTCAAACAAAAATGGGAAAAAAATGAATGGGACATGTACTAGCAGAAAAATGTTTACAATGATCTCTCTCTCTCATTAAATTCTTTTCACAGCTATTATATTTCCCATATTTTTAGCTCTTTCTACTTGCAAAATATTTTTGGACTCTGAGTTATATTCCTGGCACATCAGGGTTTAGGGTAAGATATCACATCCTGTTAATCTGGAATGTCTCATTTTGGGTGCTTAATTTGAGACCAAAAAATGGGCCCATTTGTTAGGAAGTACTAAGAATCTGAGTCCTGAACATCAGAAATCTTTTGGATATCACTTTAGAAACCTTAAAACAGATACACAAATCATGAGTTATATCTGAAGCAGCAGATAAACACCAGATGATCTGTAATACAGTTATCTATCGAGGACATGATTTCATGATTTCTCAGATCTGTTTTTTAACGCGCCCATTATTTTATCTAATAAAGGCTGGTATAGCAGATTGGCAGCAACCTACTGAAGTACCTAAACGCTGTTAAGAATGGGAAAACAAAAGCAGACTTTTTTTCTCATTACAATCATTAATGGCCATTAGGGGCATAACAGGGACAGAATTTGGTCATTACAGGCTATAACAGAACCTGAGGCTCCCTGTTCTTTTAAGCAAATCAGCAGCCTACTGAGGGAGCACTGTAGGCTAGGCAGGATGTAGTAGTGGCAGGGCAATGAGGCTGACCAGCAGGCACCTGCAGGCATCCAAGACCCTGGGAGAATATAAGCCTGCGGCTTGGGCTGGCAAGTTAGTCTAGTCTTGCCAGCTACAGCGTTAGGATCTCCTGCCTGGGAGAGCTACCCAGCGACACTAGACTGTCTGCTTTGCTGCCAGCAGGAACAGTGAGACTCATGGAGCTCACAAGGAGCCCAGGCTGGGAAGTATGCCAGCACCAAGGGGGAGTGAAGGTTTTCCCTCTTACAAGTTAGGGACAGACATTCAAAAAACAGGAGCCTGAATTTATTCAATCTTTGCAGGTTAGCCTAACCTGCCTAAATTGAACCAATTTGCAAATGAACAGATAAGGGTTTGGGAACCTGGCACACGTGTCGAGCACGGCACGTGAAACCATTTTGCTCGGCACGCCACGGCCAGCCCCAGCTCTGGGTGGCTGCTGCCAGCAACAGAGCCTGGGCTGCTCCCAGCAGGTGGCTGGGAGGCTACAAGCCCTGCTGCAAGCAGACCAGGCTCCAAGATTGGCAGCAGCTACAGAGAGCTGGGGCTGGCTGCAGCCGGGAGGCTGCAAACAGCTATGCCAGGCTCTGGAGCCCCGGCATCAGCTCTGTACCGGCACGTGCATGCATGCCTTGGAGCGGGCAGTGGGGGAGGGGCCTGATGCAGTGCGATCCCGGTCCCTCCCCTGCTCCTGGCACAGAGCTGGTGACTGAGCTCCAGAGCCCAGCGCAGCTCTTTGTAGCCAGCCTGGGCTCTGGGCAGCTGCAGCAAGCCGTGGGCAGGCTACAAACTGCTGCGCCGAGCTCCATAGCTCCGGCATCGGCTCCATGCTGGCAGCGACTGCGCACGGATCTCAGGGCGGGCTCTGCTGCCTTGCTGTCTGCCCCAAAGTGCATGTGCAGTCGCTGCCAGTATGGAGCTGATGCCGGAGCTGTGGAGCCTGGTGCAGCTGTTTGCAGCCTGCCTGCTGCTGATAGCTGCTGCTCTGCATAGCTGCTGGAAGCCACGGAGCCTGGGCTGCTCCCAGCAGGGCTTGCAGCATCCCAGGTGCCTGCTGGGAGCAACTCGGGCTCTTGGCTGGCAGCAGCTACCCAGAGCAGGGTTGTGCCCCTCACTGCTACCCCCACCTGCAGGGGAAGTATGGCAGTGCAGCAGGGAGCTCGGAGCAGGCAGATTTCTGCGCCCCCTGCTGTGCCCTGCTGCACTTGGTTCCAAAACTGCTTTGCAGAAGCGGCGAGGGCAGCACAGTGGGAGCACTGCCGGTATGTGCTACCTCTCTGGAGCTTGGAGCCAGGCCTGGGAGGCAGCTGGGGCCAGTACTGGGGCGGAGAGGCAGCAGATGTTTGCAGCTGGCCCAGGTTCTGGGTAGCTGCTGACAGCCACAGAGCTCAGGCTGGGGGGCAGAGGCTTGGGGTGGGGGGCAAGGAGGGGGTTTAATTCCCCCTTCCCTGTCCCAGCCGCATGGACCTGAGCCACAGTCCACCTGGAACTCCCCCCTCACTCTGCAGTGACAGGGGTGGAGGCGTGCCCAAGCACCAGCCAGCACGGCTCCTTGAGGCGGAGGGGGTTTATTCCTCTCTCTGCCCCTGGGAGATGGTCTGCCAGCTCTGACTGCCGCTGCCTACTGCTCCCTGCATGGGGCAAGTGGTGGAATAATTTTCCCTGCCCCCTCTGTCAGATGGCAAAGGGAGGAGGAGAAATAACCTGTTCCTTCCCCCCTTGCCTAAGGGGGGCATGCCTCTGCCCCTGGAATGGTGAGGGGGCAGGGACCATGACAGGGATTAGCAACCCCTCTTGCAGTGTCCTGGGAGTGCAACCCTCTTCCCAGCAAGGGTGCTGTGCTTCAGGCAGGGGCAGGGTGGGCAGAGCAGACTGTGTGGGGTGAGTAGCAGTGGTGAACTGGGGTGGAGTGTTGGGGGGCCAAGGCCACCCCTCTGACCCCTGTGCCACCGCTCATCCTGTGCAGTCTGTAGCAGCTCTGACCGCTCTCACCACCCTGCCCCATTCTCATCTGCAGCACAGACCCCTGGCTGAGGAGGAAGTGACCCCGCTGAGGGCTTCCCACCCCCTGTGCCGGGCACAGCCTGAATGGGATTCAAAGCTGGACAGAGAGCTTTTGGCCATTCCCTTCTCAGCTGGCTTGCTGTCCGAGCAGGGAGCGTGGTGGGATGATCAGCTTGGCTTGGCTTCCGGCTGCAGGGAAGCCTGCAGTGGGGGTTTTACTCCCCTGCCTGAACCAAGCCAATCATCTGGCCATGCTCCCTCCTTAGCCGGTGGGCTAGCTGAGAAGGGAGTGGTGGGGAAAATGCCCCTCTCCCTTGCCTGGCTTTGGACCCCAGGCAGGCTGTGCCCACCACAGGGGGTGGGAAGCCTTCAGCAGGGGCCATATCCCTCCCCTGCCATTCCCTTCTCACCTGGCCTGCCAGCCAGGGAGGGGGCATAGCTGGGTGATCACCCCAGCTCCTGGATCAGGTGGGGACTGCAGGCTTACCTGCAGCCAGGATCTGGGTGGATCACTCTGTGATATGTTCTTCCCAGCTGGTAGGCCAGCTGAGAAGGGAGTAGGGAGGAAAAACATCCTCCTCCTCCCCTTCCTCTCTGACCCCCTTTGCACACCCCTGCTGCATCCCAGGAGTGGTGGCAAAGTGAGCTCGGCCCCTGGCACTGCTGATTCCCTGGAGCCAGCCTGTGGCAGGGTCAGAACATCAGGGCTGCCCAGCACCTCCTGGGCAGAGGTCCAGCCCGGCACCTCAGCCCTGCCCCTGCTGGGGAACCGGGCTCACCTTGAGCTCTCTGCAGGTGTCGAGCAAGTCCTCTCCCCCTGCATGGCCAGAGCCAGCCCCTGCTGCCCGTCAGCCCTGCTTGACACAGCCTTTGTGGCTCCTGACCTTCTCTGTCTGCCATGCTGTGGCAGAGCTGCGCTGGGGCTGACACTGGAGGATGGAGGGGGTTCGCAGTTCTCCCACCCCAGACTGTCCTGCAGTGTGAGGCTCCCCACTAAGTGTAGCCCGCAGCCCAGCAGGTCCTGTGGGGAAGCTGAGGAAGGAGTGTGTGTGTGTTGGGGGGTAATGTTCACCCTTTGCCTGGTGGATGGGGGCATGGTCACGGAACTAACAGGGGGCTTCACAGCCTCCCCTGGATCCCGATCTACTATTGAGGCAAACATATTCTATGGTATACAAGCTTCTAAAAACATGCTGAATTTTGAAGAATAATACTCAACAGTCAATAAAGTTAACTACTCTTCAATATGACTGACGGTTAAAGATTTCTAATGGCGCAAGTCATAGCTGCTAAAGTACAGTGAAATGTATCTGTTTTCTTTTCTTTATTACTTTAAAAAATACAGTATAAAATTGTCTATATACTCATGTCATATTATTGAAAACATAAGTTAAGAGGAAAAATTGCTTAGATGCTTAAAAATGCTGAGAAATGAAAGAGAAATTGGTACTGCAGTTTGTATGTAAAAGAGCACTCTCATCTACAGAAGAATCTTTTTCCTTTCAGCATTTTGTTCTGTACGGAATAATCTGTGGTCAGCTTCACTGAATGACTTAATAAATCCCAGACATTACTTAGCCTTGTGGTATGTGAGTAATGCTATTCTTTAGTTCGAAAAAATAAGATATAAACCACTTGAACTTGTGCTGTTTAATGAGAGGGGAAACATATGCTTCAAGCATTAGTATCAAAGATTACAAGATGCCATGCATTAAACACAATACTATTTCATAACTGCTATGCATCCAAACCATCTCCACACTAAAAATGGTTACAACTTAGAGTTACCTTTGCTATCACGGCAACTAGAGAAGTGGCAGAGGAACTCAATTCAGTACTGCAGTAAGATATGGGTTACTTTTCATTCCAGAAGTGGATTACTACTACGGAAAACCTCTACAAGAAAAGTCTCAAGTCATAACTAGGTAACCATTCTGGTTCTCTATGGAATCTGGGTCAGAGAGGGCTTTGCCATGGGAATAAGGGTGAGTTCCAAGAGCCTGCATTATGGGCCTACACAATGTTTGTCTGGCGAAGAAGCCAAGACCAAATGATTTTTTGATAATTTACCAAGGAATGTTTCCTACAGTGATTTTTTTCCCTTTTTTTTTTCTTTTCTTTC